GCCGATGATAGTCGATTTGTCATGTTAAACCTGTTTCTTGTGCATCCAACACTTTCTGGTCGTTAGTCCAGCCACTCAACTTTCAGAATCAAATTGAATTTACCCGTTTCGGCAACATAGTGTTTTTTGGCAGGCCTTTGTTCGAACCAATGTGCTTGTGTTGTTGGAAATGTGCACTAGGCTGGCGAACTTGACAAAAGGGTGTGCTCCTTGTGATTATGGTACTGTAACATCGCAGTTATGTAATAAAAAAAACCTTTGCAAGCTAAATATTGAATTAAAGTGTCAGCTTCACAATTTGACAATGTTGAGCAATAATGATTGCCAAAAATTTATGCCAGCTATTCAATAGAAAGTGGTTGCTAGGAGTTAGGGAAAATTTATTCTACAAAAAATATTTCAGAAGGTCCGCCGCATGTTGAAAGTGTCAAAGTGACCTTCTCATCCAGTTTCCAGCAGCTTTGGCATTGCTTGCATTGTTATATCAGACACAGGGTCGCATCTAGTGTCATTAGTCGCTCCTATGGCGTCATCAGCATACGCGTATAGGTGTGCACTAGCGCTGAAAAACACACACGCCGCTCGAATCTTTCTTGAAACCGCACCTGAATTGAGTGAGGACGAGCTTAGAGTTCAAGGATGACAGCACCTCAGCCTCAGGTTTTACGGCGATGATGTTTTGGGTCAGCCTTAGACATCTGCAGCCGTTCATGGGTTTGTTTTGTTTACAGCCTCAAGATATCTCCTCCGCTGAAAGTACGTAGCTGCCGACCTTTGTGCACAATCTTATAGCTACTTTAGTTACTTATGAGGTCCACACTTCGCTAGGGAATGGTGTGCTGGTGTCGGCTGCAGAGCTTCTCCTAATGACAACAAGGCCACCGGAGCACATCTTGGCGCGGACTACGGAGCATTGCAAAACGTTTTAGAACTGCGCGCGATATCGTTCGTTTTTTAAGACTGTGCGAAATGCTAAGAAATATGCTTGGATGCATATGTCAATCTATACGGAGTGAGCTGGCTCATGGAAGGAGGTGATACTAGACGAAATAGTGAAGTTCATTATATTTTATTCATAGAGGGATTACTCACATTATGGGCATCCATTTATATTAAAAAACCTGAAGGCTATTATGGCAAAAAACAAAAAAAAGCTAAAATTAACTGAAAAAAAGTGTAGATTCACTTGTGTCTCGCAAAAAATCAAGCAATGCTTCACCACATGGCACGGGCATTAAAGCAGCACATCGGTTCTGATTTTCTTTGTCTGTTTGAATAGAAACATTTCGTAGAACATTTATTATTTTTGATACTATTACTGGGTCTCAAAATGTATATTCTGAATTTTCTTTGTTTTGAATATTTTCGTATTAATAGTGTTTTTTTTATTGTACTGTTTACCAGCCGGCAACCGAAAATCACACACTTTTCACATTTTTATTCATTTTAAAATATTTTTATTGCTCTAGGAAATATTTTTAGAAAGAGCACTTCATTGCACAAAATTTGGTATACCGGAATGCATGTTTTAGTTCTTTTCAAGCTGGCAAAAACGATCTTACCGAGACATATGAAAAATAACCATTTTCGTGTGGTAACGAAAGAGATAAGTAAGATAAAAGTGACAGATAAATAATCATTTTTGCATGGTAACGAAAGAGTGAAGTTAGATATAAGTGACTTAGCGCTGCGCTAAGTGCGACGGGTGATGTGAGATCATTTTTTCTTTGGACGGCAAAGTGGGACGTATGTGTCCCACTTTCACACTAAGTAGCACTCCAATGCATTTTTGACCATACTGAGATAATGCCATTTTGAATGTAGTGTCGATCCCGGATATATCGAACTTGAAGGAGACCACGAAATAGCTTGTTATATAGATAATTCGAAATACAGATTATGCACATTTAAGGCTTGAAGCATTTGAGGCCTGAGAAATTGTTACAAGTGCTAACATGACGATTCGCTTAAAGCATAGTGAACAAATGTGAACTGCAAGTTGCAACGCTTTATTTCGCATGAAAATACACTCAGACCTCATTATAATAAATTTGCATCTTACATGAAAATAAGTTTGCTATATCCAAAAATTCGTTATAAAGGTTTATTCCTAACACTATATCTATTGCACGACTATTTTTTATTTACTTTGTTATAACCAATATTTCATTATATCTGTATTCCTGCATTTCCGATGGAGGCGGAAATGTTGTAGGCCCGTGTGCTCAGATTTGGGTGCACGTTAAAGAACCCCAGGTGGTCTAAATTTCCGGAGCCCTCCACTACGGCGTCTCTCAAAATCATATAGTGGTTTTGGGACATTAAACTCCACATATCAATCAATCATTATATCTGTATTCGTTATATCGAGGTTTGAGTGTAGTCCAAAAGCTTGTCTTGCTTCTTGTGGGCTGTTAAGTTCCAGTCCTCCCCAATATCATCGAAGCTTTTCAAATAAGCAAGCTCAACTCCTTCGGCCACAACAGCGTTGATTGATAAAATGCTCATGCAAGCTTTGAAGCGCGGTGGGAGCGAAGGCGTTCACATATTCATAACCACACAAGTACACTTCCGTGGCAACAGCAGCCATGCTCTCAGCATCAGTGCAGGCAGAAACATCTACTTCGTCATCTGCACTAATGAAGTCGCTCACTGTTCGAGATCGTGCCTGGAAACATTGATAAGTCGCAGAATTCACTGGAGAACCGTACGCTGTTGTCAGTGGTCATGATTCACCCGAAGTCATAACCTGGCCCGCAAGGAAGATTTACAGCGGTGCTTTACTTGATGTCGCTCCAAGTGCCAGTTATAGTTTTTATCGCTGCGTGTGCATCTACGTTCTGTTCTACTCTTGAATGAAGATTTATTGGGAACAAAAGGTTAGAAGTCCACAAGGCGCAAAATACAATGTCGTTGCAATGTTGCCAATATCGATGTCACTTGTTGCTTTGTAGCCGTCAGCCACTGCTTTCAGCTGCTTTGATGCGAAAAGCTAGAAAAAGCGTAGCCCTTGAGACATGTTTTCAAACCATAAACACCAAAATACGTTACGAGGTTGCACATCTCGAAGGACATGCTTTTAAGGCTTTCATGCCATTTTGCGCTAGCAAACAAAGAAGGGAATGCAAATATTGCAACGAAATCACCGAGTCACTTTGCATTCTTATTTTAGTGTCCTCGGCAATCGGCCTTTTCATAACACTATGCATTAAGACCAGAAGATTGTGCATCAAACATACCGGCGCACTCGCAAGCGCCGCACAACGATCCATATCAGCGCGATACAATAGCACTGTCGTTTCAATATAGAATAGCACCACGCAAAAAGGGTTCGGAACTCGTTAGGACGTGGTCAAAAAGTGATCATATTTGCTAGGAAAAATGCACTTTCTGGACTTCGGTACAGTGCAGCATTGGATATAGCAGATGTTCGCTGTGCAGAACTTCTATGCACTGGTGCACCAGTCCCATACTTTTGCATGGAAAATTAAAGGGTATTTTCAACTGTTTAATATAGCCAATAATTCAATATAACCATGTTTGATATATCTGGGTCGACTGCATTAAAAGTCATGTACTAGCCAGGTTGGTTCATTTTGCTGAGAGACCTTCAACAATTTTAGTAAGCGTTCAGAAAAACCCAAACCATAGCGAAATATGCTGCACGACGTCATGGCTGGCCATGGTGTAAACATAGCACACGTGCTTCTTCTGTTGTACGAAAAGGAAGCTGGTGATGTCATCTGATGCGGAATCTTGCTCATCAGATGATGAGCAAGATGATGAGCAATCTTGCTGTGCCAGCCTGTCTGAACTTACCAGTGATGGATTCAGTGATGATTGCAGCGACGACTATGTGAGCACAGAAGCATCGACTTTTGATTTCGATCTGCTGGCACGTGAAGTTGCTGACGTGCCCCGCATCGATATTCTCATTGCACAATGTTGTGTGCGCTTACTACAAGACCCTATGTCAACGATGACTAACTCTCAATGCAGCTGACAAAATCGAACTGTTCTTGTGTCGTAGTGGCGTCGTAGACGAAAGCGCGCGCTGCATCTATTTGCTGGGCTACGCGGGGTTGGAAAAGAGCAGTCATGTTACGCTACATACACAAAGTGGCCCAAGCATTTACCAATTTTCAAATTTGTGTTAAAAAGAAGTAAATGGCACGGTTTTGTGATTTGGCACATATTATCAGGGTACTGAAGAGAACATATGACACCACATGGTCAGAATTTCTGTAGCCCTTACACTGAGGCATTCTTCATAATCACATTTTGGTTTTAGGACTTAAAACCCCAAAAAGGTGCTTTGAGCTTTTTAAGAATGTGAAGGCGAAAGACTACTCAGATGTTCTGTTGATCTGCTGTGGAACTTTCTGCTGATATGTTTAACTTTATGACTAGCGACAACTGTCAGTGGAGACACGTGAACAGTTGTCGTAGTCCGAAATTTTCGAACCTAATAAAGAGAAATTGCTTTGATAGGTGCAGGTAAACAGCACAGTGTACAAGCTCCGAGTTTATTGCAACCTAATTAAGAGAGTGATTTGAGAGCCTACAGACACACTCATCATAGTACAGCACTGTTTCTACATGACTCTGACAGAAGGTAAGGGCAATAATATTTGAAAGTTCTACAGATTTCAATATAACAGTTCATAAATGTCAGCAGGATGTATATGATTGTCAACAGAAAGTTCTTTGGAAGCTTAACAAAGTTTCAGTAATGTGCTGCTACAAAGTTTGACAAGATGTGGGCATTTAGTTGAACATAGACTTCAGTAGCATATCAGCAAAGCGTTCAACAAAAGGCCTCAGGGGGCTTTTGCCTTCACCTTCTTCAGAAGTGCCAAGCATTCCTCATATTTTATTTTTGAGTTTCATATCTTTGTCTGTGTATGGACCATTGATATGTGGGCCAACTGTGAACTTGTCAAGCCTTGAATGTGTGCACCTTGTTAATAATTATTGCTTAAAAATCTTCTACATTACAGGATTACATCAGATCCATACGGACATTCAGCTCCCCCCTGCCTCCTGCTTTGGACCCCCTAGTTGAGCAAGATGAAGTCATGGGGTATGAGTGCCTTCTCTCTCTTGAACCCTTTCTTCTTTCCCTCTGTTTTCTTTTCAATTGAGGAATTGGCACTCCTGATGAACTTCAGTAATATTGCCCAAGCAGCGGTTGAGCAGCTGTACCAATTGCGCCATGTTGATACAAATTTCCATTTCTGTGACGAGCTAGCCAAAACCATGAAATTTCCTTAAATTGCACCATGCTGTGCCAAAATCCCCGACTAGTCTCAAAGTTTTCTCAGTTGCGCTGATTTCGACGAAAAATGTAGGCTACGTTGGTCACCGACAGTTTGCGTCATCAATCAATCCAAGCGCGCAGATCCTAACCCTAAATTGTGGTGTCAGATACATTCTCATTAGGTCAGAGCACTCGTGAGACGCGATCAACGAGCTAAAGTAATGAATCCGCGCACCCATTTGTCCGCAGCGGATACCTATCGGCGGGACGACGGAACTTATAGACAAAAATGCGTTTCCGTAGCCACCAACGCTTCGCGGGAAATATGAACTTCCTAGTCGGCAAACGTAGCTATGGCATGTTAGCCGCTAAAGCGGGAAGTGTATACCCCATTTTTCGCGCGCGAACAGAGTCGACGTGCTGCGAACGCCTGCGTTGTGACCACGTTGGTCGCCATAGCAAAGGCACATAAAACATTTTTCTGCCTTTAAGTTGCTTTAGTTGCGTCGTCTCGGTGATAAATATCAAATACCGGATCAACGGGTGCGTGCCTTTGTTACTTTATCTAGTAGAACACGTCTTGCAAGTGATCTGAGAAGTTGTGGCCTAAAGCTAACCCTATAGTGAGAAAAAAAAAAAGAGGGACTAGGGACGTAGCGGTGTTCGAAAATTTCTTGGCCTTGCTCTAACCCGTGCAGAACGCTGCTTAAGCCACCTTCGCCCCAGTACACCAGTTCATTGCGGAAAAGCATATTGTGATTTGGAAGGGGCTTTTAGCACTAGTCACGGGACATAGCTCCTTTTGTTCAATCACTCATGTGCGCATACAACACATAACTGTGAATACCAGTATCATTGATGACTTCTAAAATTGTTACGGGCAATCATTCGGAGCAGTGCATGACATTGCTGGTGCCTTAAAAAAAAGTGTGTGCCAATTTTTTTTTCTTCTTTTGCCAACACTACTCCTCAGTTTTTTATCCCCTGTTTTTCAAGGTCACCAGTTCGGCAGGTACACATTTGAATTCACAAGGTCTGTCAAATTATTTGAAAGATGCGTCAAATGGTAGCATGGACTTCATCATTTATCATTGTTTGCTCAGTGGGGTGGTTGAAAATACTACTCGTATTGAAATAATAGTGCACTCTGCAAGATTCAGGTGATGATGAATGGTTTGTACATACTTGTTTTTCTAAATGTAAGCCTTCTCTTTTTATACGGCTTGAAGTTTGGTTCATAGTGACAAAAAATCATTTTTTTTAACATGCTCTAAATTTGCATTTTAGTGCTCCAAAAGTAAAGTTTTTATTGCTCTGAAAATTGCTCCAAGTTCTATTTTGGCTGTTCCACTCCTGCCCAAGGTTTTTCATCACAGCTATACTTCAGAAACTTGTTAATACACATTTAACAAGAATGTGTTGCAATATTTTATTAATGAAATAAATTTCAAGTCCACAGTACTCCTTGGCCAAGCCACGTAGAGGCACTGTAGTCGGGATTCAGAGCGTGGCGTCGGGCAAATGTTAGTGTGTATCGTGTCAGCCAGTCATTTGTTCACAGCTTGCCAGGTTGTATTAGGTGATTGTGGGTGTGCGCCTCTATGTGCATGTCCTGAATCGTGAAAGAAAGCAAGATTTGGAGAGTTTTAGCTCAATTTCTGCCTTGCCAACACCTACTTTTGTTTCGGTAAGGTCATCTAAAAGCAAGTACATCGTGCACCTATGGGTGCCTCTATCTCGGTTACTGTGGCAAACCTCACAATGAAGTGGCTGGAAAATCAGGCTCTCACTTCTTCCAGTTCTGAATGATTTGAAATGCGAGCGCGATACGTAGACAGGGACAGTAAAGATATGGACAAGCGCTTACTACCAACTGAAAGTTTAATTGGAAAGTTCTTTAAAAAGTATATACTGACAGATGAAGCATTTTGTAAGCATATACGATAAGACCACACCACAAACCAAACATAACAGAACTGATAAAATATATATGTATAGCAGCCCCACCTTATACCAACGCCCACTTTGCCTTATAATAACTCCTTAACGCCTAAGGCATGTGCCACTTTCAAAAAACATGAGCTCCTTCTCAGACATAGCTATTGACGGTTTGGTCATGCAAGTCAAGTTATCATGTGCTAGATTTAAGGATAATCCTTGTACACTCATCTTTGTGTTTATTAACCATGACTGTGCTGTGAGACTGAACTTCACAGCCACATCTACTGACATGTTGTGTAACATGTCAGCCCTCGTCGAAGAATTTTCCTGTGCTGTAGATGATTTTTTTTGTGTCATCGAGCGCTCTGCTTTGGAAGCATTCACAGCACATCTGAGCAATCAAGCTGCCTCCATTCATTTCACTATGGAATGGGAAGCTGACAAGAGGCCACCTTCATTAGATGGTCTCGTTAAAATGCGGTGCTATCTTACAGCATGCACAGGAAAGGCACACATACTGGCAGGTACCTGAACTTCAAGTCTGTCCACCCTGACACTCATAAACAATCGTTGGTTGTCTTATTTTTAGATAGTGTGAATCAGATTTGCACAATTCTGGAAGATCCGACCGCTGATGGAAAGACATTTTAGGAGGACTTTTCAACGTGCAGTCACCTGTCAGTGGTCATTAATGCGGTGGAACATCGTTTGTATGTTCCCTCTCAACCTGCCAGTTTCAGACAAAAGAAACGCGCACGTGTTCCTAACGGGCCTTGGATAAGCGAGACCTTATTACGTCTATTGCATAGCTACAACGTTGGAAGTCGTCCACGTGCGTGTACGCAAGTTAAAGCAAGCTCTTGCAAGTGGGCAGGACAATATACCAAAGGAAGTCTTTCCTAATGTTGTGTAGAAAACCCCTTGTTTGTATTACGAAAGTATTTATATCAGGGAAGCTGGCAACTTCAGCAGTGCATGCGCTAACATCAGAATGAACTCAAAAAGAAGAAAGTGGCGTCTAATGCTCTGGCCAAGTGTGGAGCTATGATTGATCACCTCATTGACTGGATAAACACAAGTATCATCTGTAAAGAAAAAGCAAATCACGCCCGTGTCTCGAATCACTCGGCAAACAATCTACAAGGCAGACACTGAATCTCAAGGATGGATACCTTCCCTCGTCCTATGTGCGTTGCTTGCATCATATGCGGAAAACTGTATTGGAGACATTACTATTTTATTGGCCTTATGTGATGGACTTTCATATGAAAGCCAAAACAATGTTTTCATTCAGGCTTTTATTTAGCCGGTGTACTTCCTTTTCTTCATAGTGGGAAGAAACATGTGCAGAGTAGCTCACAGAGCACCCAGAGCTCATTGGTAAAATTTACTGGGAACCTAGCACACTGGGCCGAATCCAAGTACACTGGGCCAAATCCACGAAGCACAATTCATATTGTCACGTGCTACAAAAGGTCTTCAATTAGGAAGAACTTTTCGGTGCAGGGAGACGCACCAAAAACAGGCAAGATGGCTGCCTCAATAATCAACAACTAGCCAGAGCACGCGCTGCCCCAGAACATCCGTCTCCGTTCTCGCAAGCAGCTATGGCTTGCGCTCGCCGTAACTAGTGGCCAAGTGGCAATTTCCCCCCCCTCTGAAAAAAAAAGAAAGGCATCGCTATGATGCTCGGAAAGTACAAAGGCAAAGTCGGGGCGAACCAACAGAAAATCATCATCATCATCATCATCATCAGCCTGACTACATCCACTGCAGGACAAAGGCCTCTCCCATGTTCCGCCAGTTAACCTGGTCCTGTGCTTGCTGCTGCCAATTTATACCCGTAAACTTCTTAATCTCATCTGCCCACCTAACCCTCTGTCTCCCCCTAACTCGCTTGCCTTCTCTGGGAATTCAGTTAGTTACCCTTAATGACTAGCGGTTATTCTGTCTACGCGCTACATGCCCGGCCCATGTCCATTTTCTCTTCTTGATTTCAACTATGATATCCTTCACCGCCGTTTGTTCCCTAATCCACTCTGCTCTCATCTTGTTTCTTTAGGCTACACCTATCATTTTCCTTTCCATGGCTCATTGCGTCATCCTCATTTTAAGCTGGACCCTCTTTGTAAGTCTCCAGGTTTCTGCTCCGTAGCTAAGTGCCGGCAAGATACAGCTGTTATATACCTTCCTCTTGAGGGATAGTGGCAATCTACCTGTCATAATTTGAGAGTGCTTGCCAAATGTGAGTGAGTGTTGGCTCTACGTGTAGTGCACATTTTGTTGTCTAATTAGTAAGTAGTTACAGGCGATGGAGCGTGTACTTACAGCAATTTTACTCATTTTGAGGGTCTCAACTTGCTGCGGACATGATTTTTAGCTGGCATCTATCAAGTGTATGCAGTTTGTTTTGAGATGAAACTCAAGGGTCGAAGTCGGAGGCACGCTTCAGAGTAGTGCACGCCGCTTCGTCCGGACCGGTGATTTCTTCCAGCTGTCTTTGACTGCGCATCTGACCAGCATGATGTGCGACTACACCAACAAATATGCGTGGATGTGTATTTCAGAGAGGCAAACATACGCGGAAAGAGACGATTCGTGGAGGAACTTCAGTCATGATCAAGTGATGAGGTGCATTGTAATCCTCATCTACGTGGGAAATGTTGAATCCCCTAGCCTTCATCTCTTCTGGAATACCTCAGAGTTATTTTCGGGCCTCATTCCTTCGAAAATTATGCCCAGAAGCCATTTATTTTCGTTCCTTGCTTTTCGAAGTGTCATGAACTCTGAGCTGACAGATCCTGTCCGGAATGAAAAGCTGCACAGTGTAACCCATATACTGCTGCACCATCACTTTCTTTTTTTGTGGAGAGAACAGCTTT